AACACCGTGTCCTCAGTTTCACATCACAGCCCCTTTTCACCTCAGTGCCCAAGTCCCCCTCTTAACATCAGAGTCCCCATTTTCACATCAGTGTCCTCAGTCCCCCCCTTCACATCACAGTCCCTTCTTCAAATCAGTGTTCTCAGTTCGCAAATCACATCACAGCCCCCTTTTCACATCAGTGTCCTCAGTTCCCCATTCACATCACAGTCCCCCATTTATATCAGTGTCCTCAGTTCCACATTCACATTACAGCCCCCCTTTTCACATCAGTGTCCTCATTCCCCCATTCACATCACAGTCCCTTCTTCACATCAGTGTCCTCAGTTCCCCCTTTACATCACAGTCTCCCTTCATATCAATATCCCCAGTCCCCTCTTCACATCACAGTCCCTCTTCACATCAGTGTTCTGAGTTCCTCATTTACATCATAGCCACATTTTCAGATCAGTGTCCTCAATCCCCCCTTCACATCATAGTCCCTCCTTCATATCAGTGTCCTCTAGACATGGGGATTTGTTTTGTTACTAATACAAATTCTGCCAAAAATTTGGTTATTTAGAGATTCAGATATATACGAATTTCTGAATCAGAATAGTAACAAAATTCAGCAAAACAAAAATAAAATGAATTAAAATTCCAAATGGAACATATCTCAATAAATACAGTAAGATATAAAAGTGAAATAAGATGACTCCAACTTAGGCTTCGTTATAGAATAGAATAAAACAGAATGGAATAAAAAAAAACCAGACTGGAATAGATAATAAAATAGAACATTCAAGAACAGAGTAGAATAGAACAGAAAAAAATAGAATGGATTAGAATAAAAAGAACGCATATAGCTGTCTTCCAAAATTTGAATTTCAAATTAAAATTTCAAACTCATAATAATGAATATATGACATGAATTCCAAAAAACGAATCATTGTAACATAATAATGAATATGATGAAAACAAAATTATTAGCCTAACAAATGAATCTGAAGTGAAACAAAACAAACTTTTCTGTTGTGCACATCTCTAATGTCCTCAGTCCCCCCTTCACACCAGTGTCCTTAGTTTCCCTTCACACCACAGTACCCTCTTCACATCAGTCCCTCCTTCATATCAGTGTCCTCAATCCCCTTTCATATCACAGTCCCCATTCATATCAGCGTCCTCAGTCCCCTTTCACATCACAGTCCCCATTCATATCAGTGTCCCCAGTCCCACTTCACATCACAGTCCCTCTACATATCAGTGTCCTCAGTCCTCCATTCACATCACAGTCCCCTATTCACATCAGTGTCCTCAGTCCTCCATTCACATCACAGTCCCCTGTTCACACCAGTGTCCTCAGTCCCCCCTGCACATCACAGTCCCCCTTCACATCAGTGTCCTCAGTCTCCCTTCACATCATAGTCCCCCTTCACATCAGTGTCCTCAGCCCCCCTCTCACATCACAGTCCCTCTACATATCAGTCTCCTCAGTCCCCCTTCAAGTCACAGTCCCTTCACATCAGTGTCCTCAGTCCCCCTTCACATCACAGTTCCCCTGCACATCAGTGTCCTCCATCCTCTTCTCACATCACAGTTCCTCTTCACCTCAGTGTCCTCAGTCCCCCCTTCAAATCACAGTTCCTTGTTCACATCAGTGTCCCAAGTCCCCCCCCCAATCCTTCTACATCATTGTCCCAGGAAAGAGGGTGTCCTCTTTGGAAGATTTACTTTCACATACGGTGATAATGGTAAACAGAACAAACCAAAGGAGGGAATCTCCCTAACATGGACCCAGACGACAATAAATGTGACAGGTGTTATAAAATACAAATTTCTAATATAAAGTGAAAGAAAGAAGGCGATTGATTGCTATGTACAGCTGCTCCAGTTTTGATAGATTCCCCTCCCTAGAGGCACTTTTCTGGTGGTATGGCTCTTTATAATGGCCTGTATCAGGTTCAAAGACATTTCGGTAGCAAATCTTGGTAGTTCTTAATAGTACCATTTTACAAAATATAACTATAACTGTACCACCATTCAAAAATAATTTCCCCCAGTTTGTGAATAAGGAAACTAGTAATTAGCGCCAACTGTACATGACAGGCAGAGTGTTTTTTCTCTAATAAACAGCCTGCCTGTCTACAAATATATTTGAGCGAAGTTCCATGTTAAAACAGATGCTTACCCTCATTCACTTTTATAAAAATACTCCTTGTCCCCTCTTTATACAGAATAATTAAATCCAGGCTGCCCCCACTTCCTGTATTCTGGCCTAGGTGGAAATGATGTACTACAGCTGCCCAATGCCTCCTGGGATGCTCGTACGTCATGCAACCCAGGAGGCTTTGGGCCAATGTAGGAAACTCTGCACATGCCCCTAGGGATATTCCTCAGCTGCTCATGATTGGCTTTGTACAATGACAGCTTCTTGGTTGAATAGCTCAGGTGTGTTGGGAGTTTCTCCCTAATTTTGAGAATACCCCAGTTAACAATGTACAGTGGGGAAAATAATTATGTGATCCCATGCAGAAATTATATGTTTGCCCACTTACAAAGAAATTAAGGGTCTATAGTTTTTATCATAGGAGTATTTTTAAATGATAGAGACAGAATATCAACCAAAAATCCAGACAAAACACATGATACAAATGTTATAAATTGAGTTGCAGTTCAGTGAGTAAAATAAGTATTTGATCCCCAAGCAAAACATGACTTAGTACTCGGTGGAGAAACCCTTGTTGGCAAGCACAGAGGTAAGACGTTTCTTGTAGATGGTTACTAGGTTTGCACAAAATCTCAGGAAGGATTTTGGTCTACTCTTCTTTACAGACCTTCTCTAAATCCTTAAAGCGGAGTTCCACCCAAAAGTGGAAGCTCCGCTTGTTTGCCTCCTCCCCCCTCTAGTGCCATATTTGGGGGGGAGCGGGTACCTGGTTTTGACAGGTACCTGCTCCCCCTTTCAGCTCAGCACGCTGCGGCGAAATGAGCCGGAAGATCAGCCCCCTCTTTCCTCCTGCAGTCTCCTGGAAACCTTCACTGGTCCCAGAAGACTGCCGCACCAATCAGGAGGCGCAGTGGGCACCCAGCTGTGAAGCTAGCTGTCACAGCCTGGTGCCCACAGTTGAGATGCTGGCGCCATGGAGAGAAGAAGAGAAGGCACGGGTGGACCCTGGGACAGGTAAGTGTGTGTTTATTAAAAGTCAGCAGCTACAGTTTTTGAAGCTGCTGACTTTTAATAAACACAAAAATGGCTGGAACTCTGCTTTAAGGTTTCTTGCTGTCACTTGGCCACTCAAAGTTTTAGCTGCCTCCATAAATTTTCTATAGAATTAAGGTCTGGAGACTGGCTAGGCCACTGCATGACCTTAAAGTGCTTCTTCTTGAGCCACTCCTTTGTTGCCTTGGTGGTATGTTTTAGACTATTGTCATACTGGAAAACCCATCCACGGCCCATCTTCAGTAAATCTAAGATAAAGTGCAGCACTAAAATAAGTGATAACCAATAAATTATATGCAAATAATAAACATGAGTATAAATAGAAAGTCCCGTATGGTATGTACTATAAATGAAGAGTCCAAGGTATAATATTGTAACTTGATAAGCCCAGTGAGGGCACTAATCTCGCCTCCAGATGTAAGAGTATGGAAAGATTGCCCACTCACCAGAAGCGCAATCTTAATGCGCATATAGTGGTCTCGGATAGCTGGAGATCCTATGTGGGTAATGCCTGGTAATGGGATGATCCTCGAGAGGTCCCTCTGTATGGTGGTGGGTAACAGGTATGCTGGTCTGGTCTAAGACTTGCTTCTCAGGCCTAGGCTGGACATCTGGAATTCTGGGCTGAGGTGTGGAAGCTCAGCGCAGAGCAATAAAAATATAGGTGCTCATAGTGTAGTATTCAAAGCATTTATTGAGCATAAATATAGGTGGTAAAATGCAGGTAAAAACATACACGGTGACTGTAAATAGCAATGCAGCTTGGACTGCTGAATACACTGACCAGTGTGGTAAAAAATGGTGGCCGCCGGACCTCCTGATCCGGTGGTGTAACGTCAAGGCGTGCAAGGGCTCCTCCTTGATGCATTTTGTGTAAAGACACGTCTACTGTAGGGGTGATGCCATAGCCGCCGGACATCACACTGTTCAGTGTTTTGGCTGAGGGAAGAAGGTTCTCATCCAACATTTTACAATACATGAGCTCGTCCATTGGCCGCTCAATGCTGGAAAGTCGGCCTGTACCTTTAGCAGAGAAACAGCCCCAAAGCATAATGTTTCCACCTCTGTGCTTGACTGTAAGTAGTGTTCTTATGGTTATAGTCAGCATTTTTCTTCCTCCAAATCGCGGCAAAACAGACGCCTCTGGTTGAGTCAGGAGGCGTTGAAGCTTCCTATTCTAGTCTATGGTGCCGCTCCGCAATTGCCTGGCCGGTGTTTGCGGTGCGTTGCGACGCGGTTGCGGGGCATTTGCGGAGCGGTAACACCATTCAAACTGCATTATAGGCGTTTGTGGGGCGTTTTTAACGCTCGGCAAACGCCTAGCAACCGCCGCTAAACCGCGCGCATGCGGCGTTTGATGAGCGTTAAAAAACGCTCCGCAAACGCCAGACCAACACTTGCCAAACGCTATAGGGGCGTTTGGCAAGCTTTGGTAAAACAGCCAAGTGTGAACGAGCCCTAAGAGGGGATTAAAAACACATGAGAGAAGTTCCTCTTTAACATGTTAAAGCCTAAATGTAATTCCAGGAATCATGTCTACTTATATTCTAAAGTTACAAGGCCGGGCCCCCTCTTTGGTCACTGTTGTCGCCTATGCTTAGATTAGATATACTCTGATAACCAAAGACATGGCAGCCAGATCCTAAGCAGCGACACAACTCGAGAGGAAGTTTGTGCACGACGCTATGCGCTGTCCCGGAAGTAAGGGGCGGGACGCCGGAAGATCTTCTGTCGCCATCTTACCAGTGAGACAGCAGAGAGTTACCGGGTGTGAGAGCGGTGGTAGAGTTCGTGTATCGAGATGTATATGTCAGCGGAGTCTCGGGCCGGGGAGCACATGTACAGGGGGATGGATTACCATTACACGGGGCCGGTGCAGCAGAGGTTCAGCCCGTACACCTTCAACGGAGGGTAAGAGTTTGGGGAGTGGGGGGACCCCCTGTACCCCCATACAATGTGGTGACAAGGCTGGTGAGCAAAGAGTGGCCATTGTGACTCTATAGAGGGATAAAGGCGAAGGACAGACGAGTCTGAGGAACTCATTACCGTCTCCTATTGTGTGTGGGAGGATTTCACTTTCGGTTCTGCAGGCAGAGCTCTGTCATCACTGATCTACATGGATGGCCTGCGAGGAGACTGGCATCACATCCTACAGCATCACATAAATCATTTGTAGTGGATCTACTTACACTTGCTCTCCGCAACCAAACCCCTTGCCCTCCAGAGGATTTACCCCCCTTCCTGACCAGGCCATTTTTTTGCGTTACGGCACTGTGTAATTTTAACTGACACCCAAATTAAATTTACACCCTTTTCCCCCCACAAATTGAGCTTTTTTTCTGTGGTATTTGATTGCCTGTGCGTTTTTTATTGAGCTATTAAAAAAAAAAAAAAAAAAAAGACCCAACAAATTTGAGAAAAAACAATATTTTGGACTTTTTGCTATTAAACATGTCCAGTAAGAATTTTTAAAAAATCAAATTTAATAAGTAAATGCTAAAATGTATTCTGAGACATATCTTTGCTAAAAAGAAAAAAATCCCAAAATGTGTAAATTATATGGTTTACATGAAAGTTATAGTGTTTACAAATGGCGGTATAGATACTGGGATTTTTATTTTCTATTAGTAATGGTGGCGATTAGCGACTTTTAGCGGGACTGCAGTGGACATTCTGACACTGGGGGGGAACTACTGACTTGGTGTCACTGACATATCCAGTGACACCAATACAGTGATCAGTGCTAAAAAAAAAGCACTGGCACTGTACTAATGGCACTGGGCTGGAAGGAGTTAATATGAGGGGCGATCAAAGGGTTAACTATGTGTAGGGAGTGTTTTACTGGGGGGGTGTGCTTCACTGGAAGCACACTGCTCAGGATGGCTGTGTGCCCCAGCTGACAGGGAGGAAGACTGTTTTTGCAGCCATTGAGAAATACTGTGCAAGATGTGATTGGTCATAGCTTGTCACATGGTACAAGACTGCTGTGAATAGCCCTGTACCATGTGACCTCTGTGATCATTCACAGATTTCATTAGTAGTAAGCAGTGATGTCAGAAGTGACATCTTGCTTACTACTATTCATGTGATCACTGATTGGCCAATCAGTGATCACATGATTGGGACCTCACACAGTCCCGTACAGCGATCGGCGCTCCCAGTACCACTGGCAAGGAGCGGGGAGGACGTTTATAAATGGCCACCCTTTTTTGCAATGCTCCCTTTCGGCTGTTTATATACTTGGGCCGGACGGGAAGTGGTTAAATATGCTTGACAGTCCTGGGTGCACATTTGCTTGGGGGATGGGGGTGCTTTAGTTTCTTTTTTTTATTTTTACTTTTACACATTTTTAAAAAGTTTTTTAGTATACATTTTCTTTTAATTGCTATCACAAGGGTGTAAACAAGCTCCCCTGTGATGGCTTTGGGCAATGACATACTCATTGTGGAGAAAACAGAGGTCTGATCATGTCTCCCCTGCCCTTGAAAGCATCTGATCAAACACAGACGCTGCATAGTAAGGCTGGCCATACATTATACAATTTTCTTGAGATTTGTGGTTTAGATTTACCAAAAACCATGTAATAGGAGGTCAAACCTAACAACACTTTCAATTTTATCCAGTTAGGCAGGCCCTTGCCCTACATAGTTGAAGGTAAATCTAAAGGGAACTGGGCAGAAATTGGACAGAAAATTGTATAGTGTATGGCCAGCCTAAGTGGTTAATGTTATGTGCAATTCACATACTCACCTGCAACTGTGAATCCAGTGTTGTCCTGCTAGGATCGATCATGTCGCTGTCACATGCTGCCATCTTTGTTTATGATGTCATTGGGAGCTGGCTGGCCCTCCTTGTTCAGACAGCCTGCCCCATGATGATGCCTTGCCAGGTCTGCTCTCCTTTGACCACCATACAGAACCAGAGGCATCCTGTGATATGTGCAGGCTTGACTGGACTAATGTAACCACATTTTTTAATATTTAAGTTTTGAAAGGGGCGGGGGTTTGGGGAGGAGGAGTGAGTCAAAGTCCACTATAAGCAGAAATATCAGAGCTGCAATTCTGATAGAACTGTCAAGAGTTCAAGGAATTTTTTTTTCGAATGAAGTGGATCTGTGTGGAAGATCATAATTTGTCAATGCTGCTGAAGAAAAAAAAAACTGACCCCTGTGATGGTTGGTGTGTCCAAAATCACATGGGTCTGGATGCAGCACAACTAACTCCATTGGGTGCATAACAGTGAGCACTGGGCAGTGTTCTGCATTCATGCAATCAGAGCCAGCACCAGCACCCTGGACTCAAATCATCTGTGTCCAGGCTTGGTAAGAGGTGCTGATCACAAGTAACTACTTGTGTCAGCAATTGCATGCAATTATCGCTGGTCATTGATTTGCACCCAATCATCTCTGGTGCCCTTTAGACCTTTAAGGCTCGATTACTCCTCAATCCCCAAGTTCAGCGTGTGATTCTGCATGCGTGTTTACATGCCAACTTTGTCTTGTCTTTATGCATGTTACATTGCATTAACTTTTGTTTATAAGCATTGGGGTGTGAAAAGGTGCATGCTGCTGTACTTTTTTGTACTTTTTTTTATTTTTTTTTAAATTTTTTTTGAAACACTGAAACTGAACAAAATGATGTACACCAGAGTAAGTAGAAAACATTGATTTTACTGTCCATGCTTTCAGGATGCGTACCCAACTACATCACCCTTAGACTGAATACTATTACTTGGTTATATAAACAACTAATGAAGTGGGGACTGGTAAGGAAAAGCCTGGCTTGTGCATCCACTGGCATGAGCCTGGAAGTTAACCAGGTGTATGTATGTATTATAGTGGTGCACCAAATTGAAAATGGACATTTTTTAAAAATTTATATATTTTTCAAACAATTTTTTTGGGCAAAAAATACACTTTGATTAAAAAAATATATATACCCCAATTTTTTTTGTAAAATATGAAAGATTCTACGAGTAAATAGATACCCAACATGTCATGCTTTAAAGTTGAGCACGCTCGTGGAATGGCGTCAAACTACAGTACTTAAAAATCTCCATGGGTGACGCTTTAAAAATTTTTACAGGTTACCAGTGCAAGGTTACAGAAGAGGTCTAGTGTAAGAATTATTGCTCTTGCTCTGATATTCATGGTGATACCTCGTGTGTGGTTTGAACACTGTTTACATATGTGGGCATGGCCTACGCATGCGTTCACCACTACGTGCGAGCACGGGGGGCACTTTAAACTTTTTTTTTTAATTATGTATTTATTTTTACACTGTCCCTTTTTAGAAAAAAAAAGTAATCACTTTTATTTCTTTCACAAGCCATACATTCATCCCTTGTGATAGAAATAAGTAGTGGCAGGTCCTCTTTATGGAGAGATATGGGATCAATAAGAGACCGCATCTCTTCTCTACAGTTTAAAGCATTCAATCCAAAAATAATTGATCTAATAATGCTTTAAGAAAAAAAAAAAAGGCCTCGTTTACAAGGTGCCGTAACCGGGAGTGACGTCGCTCCGGACCTCCAAGGGCATAGAGATGATTAGAGGCCATCTTTACTTCACTGATCTCTGTGCCCAGCGCCGGGATCGCTCAATGGTTTTTCAGGTAAGGCTAAGAACTACCGAGAGACGGGGTTATTTTCTGCACCTGTATCAGTGCCTATTTGTTATATTGGCCAAAGGCCGATAGGGGTGTTTTCAGCCGAAACATTTCGGCCACCAAAATTCCGGTGCATCCCTAATGCATTATATGTGTACATTGGCATTTTGTCAGCTCTATACCTTGGAACCTCCTTTGAGCTGAACCCATGCCTGTTGCTTGAAGATCAAGAAAGATCCATCGTGTTGAGTTTAGGAGCACTTTCTGAATTAATTTTCCAGTACAGTGGGACCCTTCCCTAAGGACACACTAGTAGTGAGTGTCATTTGCAATACTGTTAAGCAGCCCATTCATTAGTCAGTTTTTTTTTTTTTTTTCGTTTAAAAAATTGACTCAATTCCCATATCTACCGAAAATGAATTCTCCCTACTGAGCTATTATGTTCTGACAACGAGAGACTTCCCCACCGTCAGAATACGCTAATCGGTGCTGCCAGCTACAACCTGTCGAACGAGGAAAACCCATCAGAAAAGTTGTACAGAAGCTGAATGGTAGATTGACTTCTGTACAACCTCATTGCCTGTATATGGATCGAAATTCAGTGGGTCCTTGCTGAACTGGCTGAATTGGGTCCCATGTATACGGTTGGCTTTAGAGTGTCATTTACAGACCACACACAGCAACTTTCCCTGGGCCTTCATGTCATCACAGTGTTTGTGCACTAAATAGAAAGATGTCATAAAATCAAAAGTGAAAGCTGCAGCATATTAAATCTGCTGTCATTGTTTACTGTGCAGTGTCATTCACTAATAATCTTTTGGGATTGTTCTACTTGCTGTAGAAACACTTATGATGTGAGGCAAATGGAAGAGCGGCTATTGGTGGTCCAGAAGTAGCACTCTCAGAGGTGCTCCCACCCCTCCTTTTTTGTCAGATATGCTCTGCTGTCACTGTTGAGCAAGCCGAAATTACTGTAGCCAAGGCAACTAGCGTCATTCTACTTCAGTTTTCATATATGTATTCATAAGATAGGATGTAGTTCTGTTTTTTGATCTAAAAGCAATGCCAAGCTCTTTCCTCAGGTTTATTAGCCACTTAGATTATCAAATAGTATTCCACCATGATATTGAATTCAAAAGCAACAGCCGTGTTTGTTGTATATATGACGTGTGCAAAAACAAACTAAAATAGTAGGCCTATGAAGAACCATTTGTGTTGCTGCAAGCATTCAGTCACATTCCGCTTTTCATTTTTCAAGGAGGACTTTGTGTCTTGTTGGATAACACATGCAGGTCTTCACTCTGAACAGTGTGGTCAGTTTTTCACATTATAAAACTTTAAAGCATAGTATTATCTACTAGAACTATTGTACACTGGTTATGGCTTTTACTGTAAATAATAAAATATATTTCTTTTTCTAGTACTGTATTGGCTCTTGCTGGGGAAGATTTTGCACTTGTTGCTTCAGATACACGACTAAGTGAGGATTATTCAATCCACAGCAGAGACACACCAAAATGCTACAAACTGTAAGTACATTTTAATACAAAGTGGCCGGAATGCACCTTTTAAATAAAAACAAAGTTGTAACTTGCGAGTCACTCACTGCTATTACAGGATCGCAAACATACAACACATCCTCTTTAAATGTGCAAATATTTCAAAAACATAAAAACAATATGTTGCGCTCCTTTTTTGAGTATTAAATCAATACATATTTCCAATAAATATATCAAAAAAATCAATATTAATAAACTTGTGAAAAACAGAAAATCATGTGAAATCAAAATGTCATCCCGTGCTCATCATACAAAAAAATATATAATATAAAAAATATATAAAAATTAATCAGTCTTCAATGAAAAAAATATGTGTGGCTTTTCCCAGTGATTCAAATCAATTCCAGGTGACTTTCTTAGTGAGTATAAGATGTGCGCTCACCTCCAGATTAGCCAAACAGGCTAATAATGCTTTTTATCCACTCAATGGGACTGATGCTTGTTGCACCATCAGAAGAGTGGTGGGTCCCTCTCAGGCTGCTTCCCGTCTCCTACTCCTGCTGGGATCTTACTCTTATACTGCTGATCTCCTGCTTTCCTTTCCTTGGCAGGTGCCCTCAGTGGAAAGAAAATTACCAAAAATAGTGCTTTATCTTTTTTAAAATCAGTGCTTTATTTAAGTACCAGTTGCACTCACATTTAAATAGTGTGAAAACCACTTTTATAATTGTTGCGGATGTGCACAACAAACATGCGCACATCCGCAATGAAAAATTGCTGTATTCTGTCGAATATGATTATCAGCATTATCTGGTGACCAAAAAGCATTACTTTTCCTGAAATAGCTCAATCAGGGAAATACCACACTATTGCCATTAGATGGTGCCTGGTAACCATAGGAAATAATGTTATTGGACAAAATACAGAAATTTTTTCCCACATTTGGACAGCAATTTGTTTTTCTTTTTTAATAAATTAACCCCTTTGTGTCGGACATTTCAGCGGTGACAATCTACTTGTCCAGATAAAAAAAATACATTTTAACCAAAACCATATTTAAATCAGGTGATTTTAGGACTGTTTTAAAAACAAAAGGGGTTTTATGGCGACTTAAATGTGTAATATTTTTAACATTTTGCTGTTTATCTCCTCCTCCCCTCCATGCCTGTCTCCAGCACCACACCGGGGGACTAGCAGGGAGGAGAGAGACCTTGTAGTGTAATGAGCACCTATTGGCTATTCCTCAGGAAAGGGGAGTGTCCGGCTTATTTTAACCCTTTCGCTGCCAGAGCCGTTTTTGCGCAAGTTTTAAAAAAAATAATTTTGAGCCTTAAGATTACACAAAACCCCCAAACATATATTTTCTGAAAGCAGAGACCCTAGATAATAAAATAGTGGTAGTTCCAATTTTTTATGTCGCATGATATTACCTCAAAAGTTCAGTAAAAAATTAAGAAAAAAAAGTAATTTTGGGCACAAAAAAGTAATAAATTACCCTATTTTTTTTTGTAAAGTATAAAAGATGAGGTTGCACTGAGTAAATAGATATCCAACTTGTCAAACATTAAGTTTGAGTGTGGAGGCAATCAGTGGCAGCATTGCTGCCCCAATGCTTCCACCTGGCAGACCAGCCCTGCATCTTTCCCTGAAGAAAAAAAAAAAAAACCTACCTGCCCGGTGCCCAGAACTACATGTCCTGGGCACGGACGATATGAATTAAATATCCCTGCATTTAAAGGATAAGTTCACCTTGCAGGCAAAAAATGTGTATTTACTATTTTTTGTTTTGGGCGTCTGGAAAGCAGTGCATCAGCGGTCAGAAGATTGCTGGTGCCATGCAGGACTCCTACAGACCTGTCAGTGTATTTGTGTGCTTGTACCTCGTACGAGCAAGCAGATACACACTGACAGGTAGAATCAATGAACTACCACAGTGCCCAACAGCACTGTTCATTGAGAACTACACGCTGATAGCCGCAAAGGCTGTCAGAACTTGTAGTTTTCCCATTCACAGAATACTGTGAATGAGTGACGCGTTCCCCGCATGGCCGTGTTTTTTGAAAGATATTGTGACAGCTAATGGGGGATCGAGAGGGATCGGGGCCAGACCTTTTGTAACATGTTGCACCCTGAATGTGGATGTAACAGGTTACAAAAGGTGAACCTATCCTTTTAAAGTTTAAGTCCAGCCAAAATTTTGTTGGCTATTTACTGAATGGGAATGGATTAGTACCCTTTGTTAGCTGCTTTCCTGAGCTGTGTGAGATTCCCCTCACACACAGCCCTATTGACAATACGTTTGCCAGAGGGGAAGTAAGAGAAAATCTCCCAACAGCAGCACAAAAATAAATAAAAACCCCGTCAGACTTTTATTGCTGTCTGTTTTGCATCACCACTGTGACAGTAAATAAGGGTAGATTGCGTGCGTGTGTCTACACCCCTCACATTTTTGTAAATATTTTATTATATGTTTTCATGTGACAACACTGAAGAAATTACACTTTGCTACAATTTAAAGTAGTGAGTGTACAGCTTGTATAACAAATTTGCTGTCCCCTCAAAATAACTCAATACACAGCCATTAATGTCTAAACCGCTGGCAACAAAATTGAGTACACCCCTCAGTGAAAATGTCCAAATTGGGCCCAAAGTGTCAATATTTAGTGTGGCCACCATTATTTTCCAGCACTGCCTTAACCCTCTTGGGCATGGAGTTCACCAGAGCTTCACAGGTTGCCACTGGAGTCCTCTCCATGACGACATCACGGAGCTGGTGGATGTTAGAGACCTTGTGCTCCTCCACCTTCTGTTTAAGGATGCCCCACAGATGCTTAGTGCCCATTGTTCTACATTTAGCCCTGCTATGGGCTTCTCTGGCGCTGGCAGAAGCTGAAGACAGAGAAGCCTGGATTCTAGTCTGGCAGCACTGTGAATTTTTACCTCTTTCCACAAGAAATCTGTACATACTTTCCTGACTTCCTATTGGCTGTCAGTCCCAGGACACTGAGGTGCCTCTAGTACGTGCAGCATACTGCTCAGAGTTCTGCTCCTCTGCTGTTCCAGGAATGGGTGTGCAGCTGTACCCCACCTGTAATGGACATCTCCAGGAATCTTCTTGACCAAGTGTACTATGGTATGTGAACAGTCACACAGTGCACACTACACTCACACACAGTATCACCCCCCACCCCACTTATCCCCAATGTCCCCCCTCTCCCCACCCCCACTTATCCCAAATGTCCCCTCTCTCTGATACTCTGTAGGTGGGGGAGAGAGGATTTGGGGGTGGGAGGAGGGCTCTGTACTAGAAGGGATGGTTGTAAAGTGGCCTGTGAGATATGCACTCCTGAGCCCTGCGCTCTGTACGTAGTGCACTCCTGAGCCCTGCGCTCTGTACGTAGTGCACTCCTGAGCCCTGCGCTCTGTACGTAGTGCACTCCTGAGCCCTGCGCTCTGTACGTAGTGCACTCCTGAGCCCTGTGCTCTGTACGTAGTGCACTCCTGAGCCCTGCGCTCTGTACGTAGTGCACTCCTGAGCCCTGCGCTCTGTACGTAGTGCACTCCTGAGCCCTGCGCTCTGTACGTAGTGCACTCCTGAGCCCTGCGCTCTGTACGTAGTGCACTCCTGAGCCCTGCGCTCTGTACGTAGTGCACTCCTGAGCCCTGCGCTGTACAGTATTCACTACTAGTATTTAACAACGCTATATTAGGACCCTCCTACTGTGAGGCAGTAATACAGTGAGGGCATGGTTGAGTTGAGTTCTTGCACCTATTCTCTGAGAAAAAAGCCCTGGCAGGCTGTCCTGTCCCACAGGACACTTGATCAGCCAGCCGGCTCAGAACCAGAACCACTCTGTCTGTCTCTATGGTATAGGAAACCGGAAGCAATGAGCATACATCACTACTGGTTTCCCTGACACCATTTTTAAAAATGGAAAGCATTTGATCTTGGTGTGATCAAATGCTTTTAGTAGCAGAGATCTGTATTGACCCCAGATCTCTCCATAAGGAGTACCTATTACCTCCTATTGCTGTCACAAGGGATGTTTAAAAAAAATATATAACGTGTGGGGGTTCTGAGAAAGTTTCTGCAAAAACTAAAAAACATTAAAAGTTTAAGTCACCATAAAACCCCTTTTCATTTTTAAAAGCCCCAGACATTCCTAAAAGCACCTCTGCCTAATAAGAAACATCAATCCTTCATAGTTTACATTTTGGGGAAAAAAAAATTAAAATTTTTATCAGGACAAGTAGATTGGGTCCCCACTTTAGTCCCTTGAACAAGTAATTTTTTTTTTTTTTTTTAATTTCCACATCCCTGGTATTCATACAAGGTATGCTGAGAGTTGAATACTGCTGCTATCCTGCACACCAGTACTCATCATCAGGTGTGCTATATGAAGTGGTAATCAGGGGACTTTTTTCCAGGTAGTAGAGACTGATCACGAAACCAATAAGGCAGCATGGTGCCATGAGTAATGACACCAGTGCCTTTTATGCAGTCCTATAATCCCAGACTTTCTTCAGGGCATTTTTCCAATTACTAGTCCCTGGAATTTTTCAAGAATCACTTGGGGTATAAATTGATGCCTTTCTTCTATTAAAGGGAAACTAACTCATTTGTGATCTGTTGTTCAAAAAAATATATGGCTCATGTAGATATGACTTACCATGTGTGCTATCAAATAATGTACTCTTCTATACAAAGGTTTCACGAAGTGTCTCATATAACGCCTATGTGTTCCACTTGACTGTTGCATAAATGGAAGTGGGTTGTTTAAGAGAAGCCATGTCTATCCTTGCCCCTTGGTCTCCTTGGCTTGGTTGCCTTGCTCATTTGATGTGGGACACAATTATATTGTAAAACATGTTTAGTAGTATAAACAAAAAGAAAAAAATAGTGAAGCGCTTATATTACATAAATAAAATTAAAGTGCATTCAAAAAAATATAAAAATTTCATATTCTTTTGTGACAAATCTACATAATACACACTAATACCTCCCTCTAATGGGAGAAAAAAATAGTGCAACCAAATGTATTTATGTTTTAGTGGTTCAACACACACTGAAGAAACCTATTATACCGTGCATATAATTAGAAATTCCAATATACAAAAAAAAAAAAATGTGAATAAATTAGTGAATAAAAAATTATATAGTATATCAATTATCCACATAAAATAGTGCCTAATTCACACACATTTTATATACATCATAATTGAAAAAAGAAAAATGTCCATGCATGTGACTTTTTTTGAAAAACACACGTGATCTCCACTTCTAGGTGCAAATTAAATCCTCCAAATGGCAGCAATGCCTGCTCACCTCCCCTCCTTGACCCACACAGGGCGCCAAAGCAGTTTCCACCTCAGTGGTATATCTCCTCTGGCAGACTCCTTATTCCTTCTCCTCTCTTAATTCTCCACTCCAGTCAATCAGATGTGGTGACACCTTTAGTTTTCTTTTCTTGGGCTTTTTTCCCTTTGTTTTCACCTGGCGATTTGAACAGTAACACACTTCAGGTTGCATAAATACATTTGGTTGCACTATTTTTTTCTCTCATTAGAGGGAGGTATTAGTGTGTATTATATAGATTTGTCACAAAAGAATATGAAATTTATAATATTTTTTTTGAATGCACTTTAATTTTATTTATTTATGTGATATAAGCGCTTCACTATTTTTTTCTTTTTGTTTGGACTTGTTGGTGTAAGTTGAGTGATAGCAGCTGTATAATAATAATCATTCCATTGAGCGCAGGAGGATTTTTTACATGTTTGGGTAGTATATGCTTATGATTAAGCCTCTTTAATTTGAACAGATAATGTTGAAAGTATGTACTATCTCTCCCAGGTGTTTAAATGGAGAATATTGATTTCCAGCAAGCGTCGTTCACTTCCCATAGATTGCTTATTGTAACATTATAGTCTGTGTGGGCACTAATAGCTGTTTTTATAGCATTTTAATAACTTGAAAAAAAATCTTCTTTGTTTTGTAGGACAGAAAAAACAGTTCTTGGATGTAGTGGATTCCATGGGGACTGTCTCACCCTTACCAAAATAATTGAGGCCAGATTAAAGGTATTTTATGCTCCAATAAACCTGTTTAGGAATTTTCCTGAAAGTGGAATTTTGGGATAACACAAACTACCTTAAAGTGTCACTAAACCCACATTAAAAACTATCAATAAATTCTGTGTTACATGCTGTTCATACTTAGTCACTGTGAGATTCGTTTTCTGTATTCTGCAAAATACCTGGTGATCCTGCTGTTCTCTATCTCCCCCTCTGTCCATGTCCCCAATGTAGTTGTGGATTTTGCAGAGCAGTATTGGCAGCTACTGCACATGCTCAGTTTTCAGTGAGTTTCTATGCTGAGCATTTCCTTTCTTCACATCTGAGCAGCGCATGTGCCTATAGAGTGTGGGTGTATACACAGTGGTAAATGACAGCCCACTCCCTCCCTACCTCTCCATGCCCACTAACCAGTTAAACATAAAGTGGGGGGGGGGATATTACATCTTGATTGATGGAGGCTCCACCTCCCTGTTATTCAAAAACACAGTCTGGAGGGGCATGACATTGCCTGTGACTGCCAAAAAATTATAAAGATTTGATTTTCAAATATATATTTTGTATGAGAATTTTAAACATTTTATTATTAATTTTTACTACGTATCCTAAAGGCTTCTTTTTTTATTTTGAAAATATGAGCAGCAGCAGAGGGTAGAAGCTCCTCCTTATGTTTACCTGCAGACAGGCTGGGGAAAGATCTGGTTCATGTGATAGCTGTATATCGATTAGGAAAAAAGTACTTAGATGTTTTTAATTTAGTTAAAATAATTACAGTGCCAGATACATAAAGAGAAGGGATAATGTAAATAGTACATGTTTAGTATCACTTTAAAACGATCTCCTCCCCCCTCCTAACACCTATGCTTTAGAACCTGTGTAAGAAAAATGTGTATACTTAGCTATTTTCACCTTCAGGCTGGTTCCGGGAATTTTCTCTGTGTAAGTCAGTGGTGGTGGCAGGAAAGAGGAGAGAGCACTCAACAACCACTAGTAAAGTCTGGTCATGCTTTAAGAGAGGATCCTTGCGGGAGTATGCTGAAAGAAGGAGAAAAAGTGACAGATAAAAGCTTATCCACCTGCTGCTTCTCCTCCTGTTCAGTCCTAGCCTGGAGGAGGGCAAGATGTGCAGTTGTTACTTAACTGCAGCAGAGAAAAATCAAGTCTGCAATATATAATGTATATTTCTTGTGTGTCTAGCTGTTTGCCTGGAGTTCAGTTTAAGATATTCTGTTTAATTTGTAGGTGGGTCCTAGATGTTGTTGTGTACAGTTGGTTTCACATGTCTAAATTTGCAGTGTATTGGCATTTTATAATCTAAGATTTAAAGTGAAGAATCAGAACAAAAATCCAACAATGGTAGCCTTCCTTTGTTTCTCTCAGAAAAAGTTTCTGTTTGAAAACTACACAATTTTTTCTCATTTGAACCAATAAGATGGTACATTGTTTTATCCAGCCTTACTGGGGATGCCCTAATGCAATATGAACTGTTTCTCTTTTTCTGTTTCTAGATGTATAAGCATTCAAACAACAAGACCATGACCAGTAATGCAATTGCAGCAATGCTCTCCACAATTCTCTACTCAAGACGCTTCTTCCCCTATTATGTTTACAATATCATTGGAGGTCTTGATGAAGAAGGTGAATTTCTAAGACCAGTCTTCATTGAATGATATATTGCTGTGGTGTAAGCAGTATTGTAGTTGGGTACAGATGTGACATGCGCTTGAAGAACCAATTGCTGAAATCTGCCAGCAAGCTGAAAAATTAGGAATAAAAAAAACAGCATTTAGTGGAGTGTGCTTAAAGTTGAATGAATAAAGATAGGTGCTGGCCCTTTAAGTAAAAAAACATAAACACATTATAATTAAATATTGTAAAACATAAACCAAGGCCAACATAGTGTGAAAAGAAAATAAATGTCATAAAGTCCTTAATCATAAGTCCTTTTTTGTGAGTATTCCCAATCACAGTATTCTTGATTAGTGAAGATATCACTAAGTGAAAATAACAATCTTTATAAGAAAGTGCTCCTCCATGTTTAAGGGATTTGCTCACTTACCAGAACCCTTTGCCTGACAGAGCAGCCTGAAAGCATAAGAAATCACAATCCAGGTCATACCATCACCTTCTTCAGTCTGCCCGTGGGTATTGGTAGACCACTCACATCCGCCACGGAGGAACAAATAAAAAAGCCCAAAGAGAGAAGACTGATAGTGAAGTACGTTTTATTATTCCACAACAGGTCAACACAAAAGTATTGCACTCACATTGGAGGGTGCCAGGCAGAGGCACCAACATAACCAGCTTGTTAATCGGGAATACAGCTCACATTGTCGCTAATATTCAAAGAGCCGGTGTACGTTCCACAGAGACCAGAAGCGATGTCAGCAGCTTAGCCTCAAATTAGTGGAGTGTGCTTTGCTCGAACATTCTGCTCTTTCACAACTTTTTCATGCTAGGAGAACTATCCTCATCTGCCATAGGTCAGTGAAGTAGAAGGGGCAGGCTTAGAAAGGAGCAGAAGATTTCATAGATGTATGTCATGCTTGCTTTGGATACATAAAATGAAATTTTTAATAGTACGGTTTACAGCAGCAGTATTATAATTCATATTAAAACATGCATACTTCTTAAAACACATTCTCCCCCCCCATGTCCAACCTTAAATATAACTACTATAAATATGTTAAATCAGATTAAAATACATATTTTGTCATTGACGTCCATCATATTTATTAATTATAAATACAATGCCAGCATTCAGAGGACAGTGATGGTTAAATACCCGCAGGCTTAACTGGAGTGAAATACATTCTATGCAGAAACCTGTAATGAATCAGTCATTCTCTAACATGCATAAATGGGTAATCCCACATGTCTTTCCAGTCCTCACCTGAAGATCTGAGACATCTCTAGTCCACTTTTGTTTGCAATCTACAATATAAGGTGATGGCACAGTCCTTTATAGAAACATTCTTTATAGATTCCAAAAAGGGGCTTCCCCAAAGAGGCATTACATAATAAGTTGTAAATATCCAAATAAATTGCAAATGTACAGTGTGAGATGTTCCTTTTAGATCATCAAATGTCAAAAGCGTACCCTTTGTAGAATATTTTGAGTGTTTTTAATCTCCTTCGTGCCCCAGATCACCAAATTGAGTAACTCTACAAAGTGTTAAAACTGAAGGGTATGCTGCAGCAGTAGTGAGCACTTAGTGAGGGTTTGGCTCCTGAGGGGTACAGATTTTTTTTGAATTTGCTGCCACTCAATAATTGAATGTGTTTGAGGGTAAGCTGCGCACGATCCTCTGAAAAGTAAGAACCATAGAGCCTTACCCCTGACCCCAGGAGTGCAGCTTCTAACACAGTAGTGGCTTCTCCATCATCCCCCTGTAACCATCTAGAACAGGCAAATACCATCTGACCAGCTAAATAATATGAATGAAGTTCGGGCAGTATCAGACGACCCTGAGATCCTATTCACTTGGGGATTATACAGCCAAGGCCAAAAATATCGGCACCCCTGCATTTCTGTCAAATAATGCAGCACTTCGCCCAGAAAATGGTTCAATTACAAATGTTTAGGCATTCTCATGTTTATTTCTTTTGTTTGTATTGGTATGACACAAAAAAGTGGAGAAACAAAAAGCCAAATATGAGACATCCCACGCAAAACCCCAAAGATGGTACGGACAAAATTATTGGCACCTTCAATTTAATATTTGGTAGTAAACCCCTTAGAAAAAAAAAAAACTGAAATCATTTTCTTTCTGTTACCAACAGTGAATTTCTTGCACCTCTCTACTGGAATTTTGGACCACTCACTTTCACCATTTGCTGGTCTCTTATTGGAAGGGTTCCTTTTCCCAACTGCTGTTTTGAGAATTCTCCACAGGTGCTCTATGGGATTGAGATCTAGACTCATTGCTGGCCAGTTCAGGACTCTCCAGGGCTTTGTCTAAAACCATTTCTGGGTGTTTTTTGATGTGTGCTTTGGGTTATTGTCCTGCTGTAAGATCCATGACCTCTGATGGAGACCCAATTTTCTGACACTGGGCCCTCCTTTGCACCCCAGAATTCTTTGGTAGTCTTCAGATTTCATAATGCCATGCACACGGTCAAGACATCCAGTGCCTGAAGCAGCAAAGCAACCCCAAAACATCAGTGAACCTCCACCATGTTTGACTGTAGGGACTGTATTCTTTTCTTTAAAGGCCTCATTTCTTTTTTCTGAAAACAGTAGAATGATGGGCTTTACCAAAAAGCTGTAATTTTGTTTCATCTGCCCACAGCACATTCTCTCAAAAGGATTTTGGCTTCTTTAGGTAATTTTGGTAAACTCCAATCTGGCTTTTTTATGTTCTGTGTCAGCAGTGAGGTCCTCCTGGGTCTCCTACCGTAGCATTCCTTTTCATTCAGATGGCGACATATAGTACGAGCTGACACAGTTGTACCCTGTGCCTGAAGGTCAGCTTGAATTTGTCTGGAAAGTTCTTTTGCCACCATTCGAACAATCCTTTGTTGCAATCTTTGATCAAGTTTTCTCTTTCGTCCATGTCCAGGGAGATTAGCTACAGTGACATGGGCTGTAAACTTCTTGATAATGTTGTGCACAGTGGAGACAGGAACAAGATCTCTGAAGCTGGACTTGTAACCTTGAAATTGTCCATGCTTTTCCATAATTTTTGTTCTCAAATCCTCAGACAATTCTTTGCTGCTCTTTCTCTTCTCCATGCAGCACACAGAGACACACAACAGAAAGATTGAGTCAATTTTTCACCATTTTAACTGGTTGCCGGTTTGATTTCTATATTGATACAGGTGAGTTTAATTTCAAATTACAGTAGCATCACAAACTTGGAATGCAATTATTTCTTATAATTTTGCTCAGACCATTTTTGGGGTTTTGCGTGGAATGTGTCAGATGTGGCTTTTTGTTTCTCCACTTTTGTGTCATACCAATACAAACAAAAGAAATAAACATGAGAATGTCTAAACATTTGTAATTGCAACAATTTTCTGGGCAAAGTGCTGCATTATCTGATAGAAATGCAGTAGTTTTGCCCATGACTGTTTATTTTTTATTTTTTTCCCTTGCTTGGATTCATGTGATCATTTGACTAGCCATTGTTACCTTCCAGGTAAAGGTGCTGTGTACAGTTTTGATCCAGTAGGATCCTATCAGAGAGATGCTTACAAAGCTGGTGGATCTGCAAGTGCCATGCTTCAGCCCCTTCTGGACAATCAGGTAAGATATCTAGTATCATTTTTTTTTTTCAGTTTCAGTTGAACTTTTGCATGCGATTTATTGAACTGATGTTTTATATTTTAGAGCTATTTGTAATGAATCTTTATTGCATGCTGCATCCATGACACGTGTCCTTCAAAGCAGTGTGGGGTGTCTAATAAGAATGTCCAGCACTGTCTGCAAGCTTTTTGATTTATTAAGATGCTCCCATATCTGTTGGAGAGAAGGAAGGGACTGTGATTCAAACAGATTTAAAAAAAAAAAATCATAGAGCTGCATCTGTGGTAAATATGAACAATTTATTTGCATTATATAATTTACCTGATTGGAAAGAAAAGGGTTTTTTTTTTTCTCTCTGCACAAAACTATAGATTTCCTTCATGAAAATATTTTCATGGATCAAGTACTGATGGAGTAACATGCATGTTGATCTGGGCACATTTGGTCCATTGTCAACTGGTCTAAAGTACATTTTGTGATTGACTGTAAAGTGCATCTGTGTGCACCTAATCTACCATATTATAAAGGTATCTATAAATAAAAAGCCGTAAAGCAGTTCACAATTGATGCAATAAATTTAGAGATATATTTACTGCAGTCTGTGGAAATCTGGCCATGTTTTCTTATGCTGCTACCAACTTCAATTCAGTTGCTGTGCAGTCAATGGTGGTCTTGGGGGTCCACCCCCCATCCTCACCTGCTGTTAAGTTAGCAGTGTGTTCACTTCCTTCTACCCATATCTGGCTTTGCTCTCCAGACTTCCAAGTATTAGCCTTCAACTGGTGATCGTAGAAGAGGAGCACTGCCATGCAGACTCTACTCATTTGATCTGCATTGAGTTGCACTTTAAATCTGTCAGTGAAAAGTTGCTGTCTTCTTATCAATAGCTTTCATGTGATATGTACCATAAGAACACATTCTCCTGCTCTGTACTTTTAATTATCATTGTCATTAATTGTATTTCACATTCTCCTTTGTTAAACCATTAATTGTATTTCTTTTTAAACCATGCTTTGGGTTTTAGATTGGCTACAAGAACATGCAGAATGTGGAACACCTTCCTTTAACACTGGAGAAGGCTCTGCAGCTTGTCAAAGATGTATTTATTTCTGCAGCTGAGAGAGATGTATACACAGGAGATGCACTGAAAATTTCCATTGTCACCAAGGATGGCATAAGAGAGGAGTCAATTCCTCTGAGAAAAGATTAGATTGTGTCTTTTTAATAAGTCATTTAAACTTGTAACCTTGTCTTTTTTTTGGATTTATAAAAAGAAAATTAAACAAAAATTTGAAAAAATGTACAGTGACCACAATTATTTGAGCTATCATGATGAAAGGTCCGTTTCTATAGGGAGTGTGTGTTGCTTGAATAAATAACTGAAGATTAACAAACTCGCCTATATTCTGAGATCTGGTTGTGTGAAAAATGAATTGTGAACTTGTAGGAAGTCTGGGTTTCTGCATGAATTGCTGTGAATTTTTCTGTCATATTGTGTCCAATCACAGCTGATCACATGTAAACAAGCAAATGCCGGTTATCGGCATTTCTCTCCTCTCAAATGGTCACGCTGACAGGAGGAGAGGAGAGCCGGTAATTGGCTTTCCGCGGAGGGGACATACACTGTACACTGATCATCAGGGCCCTGATGATTAGTGTAGCCCCAGCAGTGTCAGTGTCCATCAGTGCCTTATGTCAGTGCCTCGTGCCAGTGCCACATATCAGTGCCCATCTGAGCTGCCTTTCAGTGCCACCTATCAGTGCCATGTATCAGTGCTGCCTTTCAGCGCCCATCAGTGATGCTGTCAATGCCCATCAGTGCCAGCTACCAGTGCCCATCAGTGCAGCCTCATTAGCGCATATCAGTGAAAGAGAAAAATTACTTATTTGAAAAAAGCTTTTGTTATAAAATTTTGTAAACATTTTCAGTGGTTTTTGGTTTAAGAAAAAATAAAAAACCCAGAGGTGATTAAATACCACCAAAATAAAGCTTATTTGTCACAAAAAAAATAAAATTTCATATGGGTACAGTGTTGCCGCGCAATTGTCATTCAAAGTGCGACAGCACTGAAAGCTGGAAATTGGCCTGGGCAGGAAGGGGGTATAAGTGCCCTGTAGGGTAGTGGTTAGATAGTTACACCACATTCTATTTTGTAATAATGGATTTGTGCTAAAAGGGACTTTCGAAGCTGTAGGGAATCTTTACAATCCAACTCGGATTGATCCTTGACTTGTTTTTTTTTTTTGATAGGATCTTGTCTTTATTATACTGTCTGTTTACATATTCTCTAGCTATCTCTGGGGGCTCCCAAAAACAGGTGTATTTATTTTGGGATCATATGACATTTTAGTCACACGCAAGTGGACTCCTTTCAACTAATTATATGTCTTCTGAAGGCAATTAGTTGCAAAGGAGCCTATTTAGAGGTTGATGGGAATTGGGGGTGGGGGACTTCACCCCTGTTCATTTTTAATAGCCAATGGTTTAACAACATTGGTTCACAACTGCTTAAAACTCCTACTGACAAACCCACTAGATTAGCTTACTGTGCTGGCAATGATGGGCATTGTGGGCTATTCAACTGCTTGCACATTATAAAACAGTCCCAGGTAAGCACTGGATTGATGCTTGTCTTACTGGGAGAGGGAAGTTATTTATGTATTTTTGAATGGATGACTTAAAGTAATATTAAACTCTTAGAGTTTTTAAGCTTATGACATTGGGCATGATCAAATAACCCCCCCCCCCCCAACACCAATTTTCAATGCTACTGTCAGTGCTGTCTTGAGTCAGTCTGGTAGCTTGCAGGAGCCAAGAGCAGGGGAGGTCCTCGCATACAAGACAATGGGGCTATGTGTTTCTTCTGATGCACACAGTGTAGAGAGAGACAACTTTAGTCCATGAACGCAAGGCTGTGGGATGCTGCAAGAGAAAGGAGCCACCCAGAAACTGGAAACCTGTGGCAATGGTAATGGGTACTTAAAATAGTTTTGACCGCTTCTGCGCTGCCCTATAGCATTATTACTGCTACAAGGCACTACGGCTGCGCAAAATCACGTATATATAGGGGGTGAGCGTGCGCCCCTACCTGCGCCACCATTCGTGGCCTCGGCTGTCAATCACTGGGTCCAGGACAGTGATTCCCCGCCAGCAACCGGGGATCACCGAGTATCACAAACGGGGGAGAGACCTGTGTATGAACAACACAGATCTCTCCCCTGTGAGCTCCTGCACACTGCTTTGTATTGCTTTCCATAGCACAGCCATATAAAGCAGTGTGCTTGCAGTGTAAAACACACAGTACACTGTAAAGCAGTACACAGTTAACCCTTTGATCGCCCCAGTACTGATCACTGTATTGGTGACTCTGGGGATGTCCGTGACACCAAGTCAGTTCCCCACAGTGTCAGAGTGCCCACCACAGTCCTGCTATAAGTCACTGATTGTTCCCTTTACTTGTAAAAAAATAAAAAAAATTCCAGTGTGTGTATATATATATATACCACCATTTGAAAAAATGCTCTAACTTTCACGTAAACCAATGTACAAGTATTGGGATTTTTTTTTTTTTTTTTTTTTTTAGCAAAGACATGTAGCAGAATACATTTTGGCCTACATTTATGACGAAATGTGTTTTTTTTTTTTTTTTTTTTTTTTCTTTTAAACATTTTTTTTAATGGACATGTTTACTAGGAAAGTAAAAAATACAGTTTTTTTTTTTTTTTTTTTTTTTTTGTTTATAGTGCAAAAAATAAAAACAGAGGTGATCAAATACCACTGAAAGAAAGCTCTATTTGTGAAAAAAGGACATAAATTGCATTTGGTTGCAACCTTGCATGACTGCGCAATTGTCAGTTAAAGTAACACAGCGTCATATCGCAAAACATGGCCTGGGCAGGAGGGGGGGGGGGGGGGGGGGGGGTTGTAAATCCTCTGGCGGGCGAGTAGTTAAAGAGATTCTAAAGTTTCATTTTCTTTTTTGGAAAATAATGAATATGTCTATACTTACATGCTGTGTGCAGTGGTTTTGCAAAGAGAAGCCTGGATCCTGCTCTTCTTGGGTTCTCCACAGGCTCTCCTGTCCCCTCCCTTCTGTTGGGTGCCCCCACAGCAAGCAGCTTACTATGTGTCCATTCACACACGGAGCCACGGCTTGGTCCCGCCCCTCTCTCTCCTCATTGGCTGACTGGCTGTGATTGACAGCAGTGGGAGTCAGTGGCTCCCGCTTGCTGTCTCAGCCAATCTCTGCCTCAGAGAAGGCAGAGACCTGGGACAGCCGAGGCTGTTGTTCACATCACTGGATAGCGATGAGGCTCAGTTAAGTATTGGGGGGGCTGGGGGCACTGCTGCACATGAATATGATGCATGAAGGTAAAAAACCTTGAGCCTTTACAACCACTTTAAACCCAAATGCAGACATGTATTATATTGAAGCTCACCAATGCTTAGATGTGGTGGCTGCATTTGTTTCACAGAATCCAAAGAAGTTAATGTTTGGGGATCTTCACAAGGTTAACAAACTTCAAGACTTTTCAGTGTGATAGGAGTAGCTTAGAAATAACTGAAATACAATGTGGAAATGAATATATGATTTTACATTTTGACCATAGATACACATTAAAGGAGAAGTTTCACCAAAGCTATTTTGGCCCAACTTCTCTTGGGGATCACAGGAGTACACTTCATTCTGCACTCCTGTGACCCCCTATTTAGCCGACAGAAAGCTAAAGCCCGTTGTAGGCAGACATCACAGAGCCAGTCCAGGCTCTGGAGAAATCCCAACTGTAATGTAGGGATCCACCAAATGCCTGATTTGCAGATCACTCTCTCAGGGCACCACAGAGAGCATGAGGCAGCTGGGCTTACCCCCTCCACAGCCTGGAACTCCAGTGGGCGCTGGAGGGACAGCAGAGAGTAAAAGTCACTGGCTCTCTGCTCACTGAAGACCAAGAACTGATCGATCAGCGGTCTTTGATCACTCAGTTCTCGGTGTAGAGGTGGCAGGGGACAGACGCAGCATCTGATTAATGCTGCATCCACCTAGGAGAGTATATATGTTTTTTCATGTCCTGCAATTCTCTTCTAGGGTCCATGACAGCTCCCAACCCTTATGAATAAAGAGAAATTGGGCTGATAATTAACAATTACTGGAAAGTAAATCTTTCTATTTAGTGGCATAGTGGGTATAAAGTAATACACATTGACATATCTGGGTAATTTTTAAATGCTTTGAGGTTGTGGGGGTGGGGCAGAGGCATTGGGGTGCTTGTGTCATCACACCAAATTTAAAAGATAAAAACTAATTCACTGCCAGTGAAGTGACTGTGAGCTTCCTGAGAACTGTTTATATTATATAAAATTGGCAGCGTGTAGAGATCAACATGACGTATCTCTTGGTGTCCATGCACTTAAAACTGAGACGTGGATTAAAACTGGCTGCCATAGACAACCATATACTTTTTTAGTAATTGTTTTGTACATTAGGCTGATTGTGCGATGTTCTAGTATGTTCTGTATTATGCAATGGTTAAGGTGAAGCTCTCTAAGAATATCAGTCATCAATCCTGTAGCAAATCCAGCAACATCATTCTTAGAGGTTAACTTTGCTTGTACCCTCTAGGTGTCACTGTTACCCCATGTAGTACACCACCATGGACAATTATTTGCTAAGGATCCAAGAGCACCCTGTTCTTAAAAAATGCCAGTTCCATTGGCAAAAAAAATGCTCATATAGAGAGAAGTTTAGGAGCATTCAGCATTTTTTTCTGCTAGAAAACTGCTCTCAAAAATGCAAACAAGAAAGGTTTTTTTTTTTTTTTTCCTGCCTCTAAACTCTGAGCTTAAAGGATAAGGTCACCTTTTAGACAAAAATAATAAATGCATATTTTGTTGCAGGTAAAAAAATATGCATTTATTATTTCTCCAAACGTCTTCCAGGACAGCCCCTTGAGACATAGAGCTCCTCCCTCTGGGACAGGAAACACACAAGCCCAATACTTTAAAGGAGGACCTCCAGGCCTTCCTCCTCAGTTTTTAGTGTTTCCTGCTGGAAGGATAGGTGCACATTCAGGAACCTGTGGGAGCTCTACACTCAAGGGGGTAGCCCGGAATAGTGCTGGAACTCCCGTTTTTTTGTTACAGTAACTCCTCTCCGGCACGATCCCTTCATATAGAGTGGAGTGGGGGGGCAGCGCTTCGGATGTCCTTCG